TGCTTCGCCTTTCACTTGAAAAAAATTAATTGAGATAAAATCATAATCTTTAAGTTGAGATTCGTAAGAGCATTGTTTAAAAGGTATCCGTATAAGTAAACAAAATATTTATTTAAGATGATAGTAAAGTATTCAAAACTAATACTAACTAATACTAACAGTGCTAGCTACGACTTCGACTACGTATTTATTTCCTTAATATAAACAAAATATATTATGAAGTCTTAAGGAAATTCGGTCAAAAGGTTTTAATCTAAATATTTATATTCAGATTCATACAAATTTTAAAATTATTCATAAGAATTAAATATTATTTAAGATAATATTTGATAGACTAAATAAAACTAGGTTAAATCAAATGTTTTTTAATTATTTGTAAGAGTTTAGGAAAAAAGAGAATATTTGAAAGGCTACATAAGGAATGTCGATAGAATTTTATGAAGAAAGGTGATCTGAAACTGAACTGCACAAATAAATTGCTAATTGTAGACCTCCAATATTATTAAAATGTATAGTCATGGGATATATATTTGGAAATCTTTTGTTTTATGATGTTACTCCCTAAAAATGAAACAAATTGACACAAAAATGTAATCCTGTTAAAAATTAAAGATGTTTCTAATCACAAAGTTAAGATGATATCGCTTTCATAGATAAGGATCTACATAGCCAAGTTAAGAATGGCTACCTATGGGATTTGGTGACCCCAAACCTTTAGCTCTTAACATTTCACAATTATTTTTTGCAGTGTCTTCTCCTGCTTGCTACGTGAGCAGTCCGTTGTCCAAGGGAGCGCGTGTCCTTACAAAATTAGTGCTCTTTTACATTCATATGCACACATGCATCTATCCCAGATACATATGATTTTTTTCACAATACTCGTACATTATTTTCGGTTGTACATTTAGCATAAAATAAAAAAAAAATTCGTGAAAAAAAATTAAAAAATAAAAAGAGGAGCAGTGGACAGCAATCGCAAAGCTGATATATAATATTATATTTTTTTGCAACTGTTTGTGCCACTTTGGCGGAAGTATCGCAGCGACATCAGCACGAATAGACCTTCCTCCACCGCCACCACTGCCTTAACCCCTTGTTGACCAACCCAAACCCCGGTTTTTTTTCCCGCACAGGACACTCTCGAGCATTATGCGTTTTTTGTGTGTTTAGCAAAGCATAGAAAAGTGAGCGTATAAAAAATTGAAACCATTTTCTCATATTAAATGTGTGCCGACCGAAAAGGCGGTGGTGGTGGTGGGGGGCGTGGCAGCAGCAGTTAATAATGAGCGTGGCGCCCCCCATCGGACAGCGTTGGCATCTGGAGGCAAGCAGTCAAGAACTTGGGTAAAAACAGTCCTTAGAAAGCTAAGCATTTCCTAAAATATATTATCGATTTGATAAAATATTTAAAGATTCTTCTACGTTAGGTTTCTTAAAATCATAATAATTTAGTATTGTACCCTAAATAATAACATTAATATCCCTAAGTTAAAGTAATATTGTTATAACATCCTTAAATTCATTTAAAATTTGTATCAAACCCCTAAATTAATTTAATATTTTCATGATAAAGCTATGATAACTGTATTACTTCTTCTTAGTGAAACCTAAAAACAGTGACATAGAATTTACTTAAGGATCTTAGGCATAAAGACTATATAAATCCATCCAAAATTATTGTAAGCTTCTGCTTTATCCATCCTTCTTTCTCTATATAAGCACATATCCGTTTCCTGTTTTAAGCCAACGTAACGCTGATATCTGCGTTCTATTCTTCTGGTATTCTTTTCAGCCATTTTGCACTATCCCCTTTGGTTGACAGTACGTGTCGCCTTGTCACTATATACATATATACATATATATATATTATATATCGCATATGTATATATCTGAGACACTGAGACTCGCCTGCTGATTATTATTCCGCTGACCGTTTCGTATTTATTTGAAAGGCATTTGCCGGCAGCCACCAACACACATGCAGGCGCGCAGGACACACATCTCTGGTTTTTTTTTTATATTTTTATTTTTATCCTGCAGGCGAGGAACAAAACGACATATTCGTCCTGCATAAATGATGTAATTACAGCGCAAGATTTTTGCTATGAGCAATTTTTATTTTAATTTCTTACCCCGGCTCCTACTTGCTCTCCATTACCCCACTCATTTATTTCCCTCGTTTCCATTTTTTTTATATTTTTCTTTTTGTTGCCCTATATGTACCCCCTGATATGCAAGTACGTATGCTATATAGCACTTGGTCACACACAAGTCTGCCAGCTTGTGAAATATTTCGCATGCCTTTATCATAATTTTAATTAAATGCGCAAATTACTATAGTATTTATATATTCATATTTGTTTGTTTGTTGGCGTTTTCTTTTTTAAATCCTTTGCCTGAAATTTGAGATTAATAATGATGGGTGGGTGATTCTCCCTAAAAAAGGTGGAAAACTCTGTTATTTTAAAATCACTATAGATCTACAGACATTCTAATAGAAAATATTATATTTTCCAATTTTACTTATTTATGTATATATTTTTCCTTAAGAAATCTATACATTTTACTTTGAGCTTAGTCTAAAAATTGTTCACCTCATTTCAACGTTGACTTCCTGCCATTTATTTTAACCAGCCAAAGTCTCGAATAATATCAACAAACAAGTGCTTATTTTTCCCACCTTTTTTTTAAGAGAACCTTTTTTTGGGGAATGGAACGCTGATATTTTATGGCCCCAAAACGAGACCCCAAAAATATCAACCCACCTGCCAAACAGACTCTAATGCATTTCTAACATGGGTTAAAGGTGAGGGGGCGGGGCCCAAAAAGGGGGCGGTTGCGATTTGTTGACACAGCCAACGCCGCAAAAACATTGGCGGGCGTGTTAAATGAAATGAAAAGCCAAACGCGCGACCGCGAAAATCAAACAACAATAAAAAATAAAGGGGAAAACCGCAGAAAGGTAGCAGCAAAAACAACAACAACAAAACTGGACCAGGAAAATTGCGATGGCAGCAGGAAAAAACAACAACAACAGCAGCAACACACTCGCACATACACAAACAAAAACAAGCGAAAAAATAGTAGTTAAACCCAATTTGTAATTTGTTTGGCAAATCGCTCGAACGACGGTGAAAGAACAGAAGCACTGAGAAAAATGTACATGTTTTCCTATAAAATTTCAGAACAAAAGAAGAACCTCACATTTTTGAAATCTCTTTTAGAAATGTGCCAAAATGTATGCAATACAATTTTTTGAATCCGGAAGTCCATTGGGTTTTATTTTTCTTTTTATTGAATTCTTACTCTTTTAACCAGTTACATATGTATAACTAAATAATAATAAATAATAGAATTTATATAGCACCCCTATAAGTTCCTTTAAACTTTATAAATACAAATTATGTAACTATATATGTATCTCTGTGAATTTGTACTACAATTTTGTTATAACAAAACTTATGCCATCGGAAGCTTTAACTATAGAATATATATTGCATTTTTATTTTATTTATATATTATATTTGTTATTTTATATAATATATTGTATTTTATAAATATAAAACAATGTACATAGTAAAACCTTTAATTTCATTAAATGGATATTTTTAAAAACCAAACTAATAATATTTTTTTTACTCAAATTAAGCCAACATACTTTTTTCTCAGTGTCCCAATATAGCAACAGCAACAAGAAAAGCCACAAAGCTAAAAACAGCTAACGGGTAAACGGTAAACCAGCGACCGCCTGAATCCTGAAATCCTGAATCCTTTCCCCCAGCTTTTGTGTGTGTGTGTGTGTGTGAGTGGTGTATCTGTGTGTGTTGTCGCGATGAGAAACGTGCCGATGCATAATCATTGAGGCCATTATCATTTATTTCACTCAAAGGTGTCGTTGCCGTTTCGCTTCCGTTTTGCGCCGTGTGCCACCTGCAAAAATCAAAAACACACGCACCTCCAACAGAACGGAAGTAAAAGAAAGCCAAGCTTAGCTAATGCTACCAGACTTTTGGCCCTAACTGCACGATCAATCTTTACATATGTTGTAAAAAAAAATTAAGAAAATTAAAAAAAACAGGTAGATATATGGAGAAGAAACTAAGTTAATATAAGTCTTAAGTACCTTTAAAAAAGGAATATAAAATAATAAATATATTTTTTTAAACATAATGTGAAGTTAGTTTTGAAAAATTAATTTATACTTTTTAAGTATTATTCATTTTTGTAAATCAGCTAACACTATTTGGAACTAAGTTTGTTATTAAGAATTTGTTAACAAAAATTCTAGAAAGTTTTGTAAACCCAAATCGTTTAGTGCAAAGTGACCTTAAAATCCGCCAACAATTAGCAAATAACCCAACAACAGCGCAGCGGCGATTTTACAACCGCATCCACAGCAAACAACGGACAACCGGTGTCCTGTCCTGTAAATTTATGAACCCAAATGCCATGCTAACCCACTCAACCAAACCTCCCATTCAACCTATCGTCCCTTTGTGTGAACTGAGCTCGCGATTTTGGCCTATTTGTTTAGGTCAGAACTATAAAAATCTAACAAACTATAGCGTAATGAAATCAAAATAAAACAGAACCCACATTTTTCATGCATAAGTCAACAAAAGAGGAGACGAAAATGGTGGGAACCAAACAATAATCCGGCATAGTATTGTGGTAATAAAATATTGTCAAAAACCGTTGTTAAATTTCATTTTGGACATATGTAACAAGTATTTTGTTTGGTCCATAAAAACTTTTTGTTAACAGGATTCTCAAATACCTTAAATGCCATAAGACTTAAATATAATAAAGATTTCATTCAACATGTATGAAGTATGATCGCTTCTTTGCGATTCACAGACACTTTTAAAATGAGCCTTTCTACGCGATTCTCAAGGTTTTCACCTATATCATAGATCTCAATATTTGTAACAAACGTAGATACCATAGCGATAAACGTAACTTAACTGTCCAAGCCCTTAGACCCAGACATTCGAATAGAATTTAGTTACATCTGGCTCGGCAAACAGAAAGCAACAAAAAAAATATTAAAGAATAAAATTCTTTCTACTTATATTTTCTTCTATTAAATTTGCAACCAACTCCGTCCAAGGAAATCCCGGAGTGTTCCTTTTTATGACATGGCGATGAAGATGAACCAAAACCAGAACCAGTTCAAGATAAACTACACCCAGCAATATGTGGCCAGGATAACAGTGCCCCTGGTCGAACCCATTATCCCTGTGCCGCAGATGTCGTCGGCAAATCTACGAGTCCGTAGGGCTGTCGTCGAATCCTATCGGGGCCGCCAAATAGCTCCCGATGATGCTATGCTGCCGATGCCGCCGCACAATAAGGCCCAGAGTATGTCTGTGATTCTACAGGATCTTCAACGGAGGGTGAGAGATCTGAAACTCTGGGACCGAGCCATTCGCCTTCTCAAAAAACGAATATAGTTTATATATCTACGATACGCCACTGGTGATCTGAGCCATATTCGCCATCCTATCTGAGCCTCCTGTTTCTTCGTCCACTTGCAAAATCCCCATTAAACAAGTTCGAATTGTGTTCGATTTTAGATCCCGCACCCGATATAATCCTCTAAAATCGATCACATACATATGTACATATTATACGTAAGCTATAATATGACATCGTTTTAAATATATGCACAAAATAGTTCAAAAAAATGCTGTTGTATAATTATTTTGAAAAGTATTATTAGTTCGTATTCTTGAATTTTAAAATCTAATTTTACTATTAATTTCTGTTACACAACATCCAACACCGTTACATTAACCAAGGATTTAGACACCAACCCATACTGCAAGCAATTTAAATGTATTAAGAGTGGAGTTGGGACATCTGGCCAGGCCCAAATCGCAGAAGGCCGCCAGTGCAAACTGGAACAACAACAATGGCGACTAAGCGCAAAAAAAAAATTAAATTCCAACATTAAAATAAGTTTTTAAAACTAAGCAGCGCGGCTTATGTCACAGAGAGAGACACAACAAAGAGGTACAAAAAAGCACAGCAGAACCGCAGGACAGACGACATTTAGAATATAAATTTAGTTAAACAAATCTCGGACGAGGCGGCCTCCCCAAGGTACGAATGCAGCCAGAGTTGCTACCGTCATGTATGAGTTTTCTGGCAAAATACCTCCGCTGCACGAAAATGGAGAGGCTGTTGAATCCTTCTATTAATAATACATTTTCTGTTACTAGTAATTAAAATTTATGTTCATTTCTAAAAACTAAATTGGATTTAAAAACCAATCGTATAACAATATTAACATTAGGGTGGACCAAAAAAAATAATATTTTTATACCGTCCTTAAATATGGTCAATTTTAGTAAATAACAAATGTACTCAGAAGATAACAAAATTTTATTTTTACATAAAGACGTTGCGCAACAGTTAACTTAAAAATCACTCATACGACACTCATGCCGGTAAGACCATATTACAACTTTTATTATTTTCCAACTTATGGATTTCGTTGAAATGACTCTTTAAAACCATTTTGATCAAAGGCAACAGTACGTATAAGTGATATGCTCCAAAGGCTAAGCACCATCATTACTTTGTGATTTAAAAATGTATTTATGATTTATCGATACAAACGTATAACCCATTAAAATATCGTTCGTTTAATACACCCTGTAAAACTAAGAAGCTCCCAAATTCCCGACTGTAGGGCATTGGCAAAGCTTTCGACCCCCAGACCCCCAAAGTGCATTTGGTTCGTTTTAGGGCTAGGGTTAACCCTCCACTGGCCCTGCGACATACCCAACACCCCCACCCCCTCCTCTTGCATTTTCTTGTTCTGCTTCTTTATCTTTTTGCCATGTAGGCTTCTCTGGCTCGTATTTCCCACCTCCGTTTCCCCGCCGCCAACCGCTGACAAACGTCAAAATATAATTTTTGCGTGGATTTGCGTTGGCCCAACAACAACAGCAACAGTAATAAATGTCAGGGGGCTTGAAACCCCCACCAAAAAAAAAATTACAAAAAAAAACCGAAACAATTTTTGCAACTGCTGCCTGCTCCTTATCTCAGGCACGTTAATGTGGCCTATGTGGCTATGTGGGGGAAGGGTTGCCAGCATTGCATGTCCTACTGTGAGACATAATTTTTAATAATCTACAACACAGCCCGGCCACAAAAGGGGCGGCCAAAAAGGGGGGAGGCGCCCAAAAATACGCGCATGCAAATGGCTTAATTTAATATATAATTATACCCTGACAACGCAGGAAGACGCCCACAGAAGATAGGGCTATATTAGCTAGGGGCCGTAAGGGTATCTATGCATATGATATTTGTGGATTTATTTAAGAATGCTAAATCTTAAGGAAAATCATTCGGAACTTCATTTTAAAAAGTATCTATTTATGTTAGAGCCTCTCTATGCGATTCTCAGCATTCTTATGTACCTTATGCATAACAGAGCCGTTCTATGCGATTCTCACAATTCTAAGGTGGTTCGAAAATATATTTAATTGAATTTTTTTATTGATATATATTTTTAATTAGAGCATTCCGTAGTCATCCAGTGTTAATCCCTTGACGCCCACTACGGGAGTGATTTCCTTGGTTTCGGTTGTACACCTTGTCGTTCCTGCTTTTTTATCTGACTCCAAAGGTTGGCCAAAAGGTGTTAAGACGAAGATGCCATATACACATGTGGAAGATTGTCTTGTCTAAGCTCCAGATTGATGCCGCCTTTGCCGCAAAACCCAATCCCAGAGCTGTAATTAAATTATCATGCCAACAGCATAACGCCGCCTTAACCCCTCGCGTGTGTTGGGGGTGTTGTAATTCAAACAGGAGCCAACGCAACGGGTTAACATTAGCGCACTTTTATGGCCTTCGCCGGATAAGTATATGTCCTCCAAGCCCCCCGCCAGTTGAGTCTCTTTTTTCTATGATTAGCTGCTAAATTTATGCCAGCCGCAAAGGTATTTTGCGGCAAGCACTTAAAACAGCAATATCTGCAATGCCTATTTATCTTTGGGAATACGTTACCTGTATAAAAAAGCATAACCTGAAACCTTTTCATTAAAATATAGGAAATATATTTATAATTGTTTAAAATATTTTAAATCTTTTCTTAAGTAAGTAAACTATGAGTATTGATTTTAAAGGATCTGTTTGAACTCCCAAGTTCCCCTTCGATCTAAATAATTTCAGTAAGTACACATATAGATACGATCAAGCTTTAGTTGACTGTTATTTAAATGAAAATCCAGTAAAATAAAATGGGATGGAGGGAGGAAAAACGTGGGTGGCTTTTCCATCTTGGGCAGCAGCTGTTGACCAAATGTGGACTTAGGACGTGCTTTTAATTTTTAAAAACTGCTCTTAAAACGCGATAAAACACGTTGAAATGGCAAATAGAGGACGGAAGAGGGTGGACCATAAAAAAATCAAGCGAAGGAGAGTAAAAGATGAAAATTAGTAGAAGAGACGGCGAAGGCGAGTTACATATGTACTTAGCCAGTTACATGTGTGTGACCGTGTGTGATATATATATTTTATTCATATGAACACACCAACACCCCACACACGAGAAAATCCCAAGTTGGGAAATAAAAAATATGGTAAAAAAGGGGGGGTTTTCAGAGTGGACAGTGCATCTGAAAAAAATGTGTAAAGCGTGCATTTACATAATGAAAGATGTAGCAGTGCAAGTGTGTGTGATTTTTTTTCAGAGTATATGTGAGGCAAAAGGATTAGCGATGGACGTCATGTGCGTGGCACAACCAAAAAAAAAAAAAAAAAATAGGGGTAAGGAAAAAAATTAAATTATAAAATATTGAAGCGAGTAAGAAATGCGCAGAAGGGACAGAAAGGCGACTGCACTGCTTGCTAACACACCCACAAAAGCACTGGAAAAAATACTTAAGTGACATAAGAAATATATCTTTATAGTTTGTAAGTCGAGTAAGTCCTCAAAAAATTACAATAGGCAACCAGGAAAATTTTTAAATCGATTAACTTAAGTGATTGTATAATATTTTTGAAATATAATGATTCTAGGATACCTTAACTATCTTTTACAGCCCTATTTTGGTTCCAAAATAATATATAAACATACAAAAAATTAAAGATTAAATTATGGAAAATGAACACATTTTTCTATCGTGCAACCAAAATTAATGTCCTTTTAGATACAAATGCAATTTATAAGAGCCGAGCTCGTGTGTGTGGGGTGTTCCAAAAAATGCTTTCACATGGCTTCCATCACCCACTCAGCCCCCTCTCTCTTTTTATATTCTTATATTTTTTTTTCCAACATAATTTTGAATAGCATTAAAATTATTAGCTACAAATGAATAAAAACGAGCCGGGGAGCGGGGAAAATGAGGCTGCGGGGCTGCTGGAAAAAAATTAGTGAGAAGGACTAGAAGTAGAGGGAAGAAATGGGCGTACCAACATCTTTCAAAGGGGCAACTGAAAACCCCCTAATTTTTTCCCGTTTTCCCGCCCAGCAACAAATGCGCATAATGAGCTCTGGTCAGCCAGCCTAGACGGCCGTGGGAGGTTGCCATCGCAGAGATTTACGCGCGACAAGTTTTTCTTGCCCTTTTCCACAACGTAATTCTTTTCCATGCCCTATCTATGGGGTCTAGGGATTCCTTGTGCAACTTGGCAACCCTGGGAGAACATCCCTTGTATCAAAACTAAGCCGATCTACAGGCTTGGTTTTGTTAAGATACACTTTATATTATTTTTTGAATTTATCAATAAAGGATCGCTGAAATATTTTTAAATTTTCAAATTTATAAACTTAGAACAGCGCTCCTTTATTGTTTTTGCCATTGTCCATTGCTAAGTATTAAGCTAACATTTAAATGTTCTAGAGTATTAAAAACTTGGCTTAAGACCATCTCCTATTTAGTTACCATTTTTTGTAGCCTCGCAACATCCAGCTAAACACTTTTCAGTTGATATCGCAAATCCTTTTCGCTGGCGCTTACATAATGATATGTGGCCGCAGATGCCAAGTGCGGGAAAAATTAAAAAAATATATAAAATAAAATAAAAAATGAGTGGAAGGAAGTACCGTCTGCTTGCCTTTTTGCATTTGCATGCAATTTGCGCAAAATGTGGAGAAGGGCTTCCTTCGATCTGATGAAATGAAAAAGCAGAATGCATCATTCTATACTTAAGGTACAGTACACATTAATTTTCATTAATTGTCAAATTAATAAAATAGAATCTTATATTAAATGTATAAGACCCAATAAACAAAACCACATTTTCATATTATTAATCGTACATTTAAAAATCAGTTTTATTCCGTTATATCATGCTTGCTGTATGGTTTAATATATCAGTTAAACGTAACTCTTAACTAGGCAAAAAAATAATCGATTATATGGTAGATAGGGTGACCGTGTGATTAATATGTAGCTCCACTATTCAGAGTTTATAGGTGCACATTCGATCCTCGGCCAGTTGTTTGGGCCTTCGCTTCCGGCGCTTGCGTGCCTTTCGCCGCAGGCGATCGAACTTCCGGATCCGGTCGCAAATGAAATGCTTGAGGTCATCGCCCTCGGCGGCCGATTGACGGCTGCACGACATGGTGAATAAAATTAGCGAATTAAGGTAGAAAAAGAATCTTATATCGTAGTCATCCATCGATGGTTTGCCCTTGGTT